GATGGAGATCGTCTGAACACCAAAGTCTGATGGGCTGCTGGACTTGGCCTTTCTCGATTCTAATCGAGTCGCCATGGTGCTCCGGTCGCTCGTCAAGCTCATCGAATTGTCTCGGACCTTCGGTAAGTTAGTCGGACTCCTCGGACCGCTCGAAAATCATCTTGGACTCAAATCGGGGCTTCTGGAACATGGTGGACCGGTTTGGTGCGAGCTGGACCAGACTGGATTGCATATGGACCGCCTGATAGCTTGATGGTCGCGTCTGGGCCGAAGAGACGCGCACTGGACTCAAGGAGCACGCACTGGGCCGTGCGCATGAGGCTGGTGGCCCGCGGACACGCTGCAATTGGGTCAAGGAGGCGCGCTGCGGAACTGGGCCTTCACGCGGGCTATGATCGAGCCTCTCGCGGGCCAGGAGCTAAGGGAGACGCGGGTCTCGCGCGGGCTGGGATGCGGGCTCTTGCGGGCTGTGAGCTGAGAGCGGCATCGGGCCGCGCGGGCTGTGATGCGGGCTTCACAGCCCACGCGTTTTTCTTCTCTGCTAGATCGCACGCGTAGAACTTGACCAGACTATTGGGCCGCTTGCGCGAATGGTGGGCTGCGCACTGCTTCTGCAACAGACGTGGGCCGCATGTTGAACACCTGGGCTGAGAGGCGCGAACTGGACTGGAACCTAGGTTGGGCGTGAGCATCTTGGCGCGGACAGAAGCTAAGAACCTAGGCGCAAATTTGAAATTTTCCGGCAGCTTGCTGGATGTCACCGGAGGCCATAGGATTGCCAGAAAAATAATATATTCAACGGGATACGAATCAACAACCTTCAAATTTTCTATTGTATTACCTTTACACGATCTCTAATAAATCTTGGTGGAGCGGTTTATTATATTTCTCAAAGCCTCTCGATCATCTTCTTCTAAGACCTCTCAATATTAACCGAATTTTCTCTCGAAGAAGAATCTCTCTTTCTCTCTCACATGTAGGGGCCGAATTTCTCCAGCCCTTCGGGTAGGAAAAACGTGATACATCATAAGAGAGGCTAGGGGACATAATGTATTTATAGGATACAATAGGGACAAAAATGAGGTGCTAAATATGGGCTTATTCCATCAGGTTTAGGAATCCTTATTATCTTCCAACTCCCTTTCCCATCTAGGATAATATTCCTAATATTAAATTACATTCTAGAAGACTCCATTAGTCTTCTAATTCTAGGTAATACTCTAGAAGGAATATTTCAATCCTTAGGGAAATATGGAAAATAAATAATTCTTAATTCCTAATCTAAAATTAAATAATAAAACATTCCACTAGAGTAATATTATTGCTCTCCCCATTTAGCTCCGAATTACAATTAACTCGTCTCCACTGATTAAATATATTAATCTAATTGACCAATTTATCTCCCCATGTTTAAGATATAACGTCCGTTGATTAATTAAATTACTGACAAATTATTAATCAACTTCTTATTCATTTCCGAAGCTAGTACCACTCAGATCCTTAATCATTATGTCAGATAACACATCTGCCTACTAGGCTTGACATAATATTCATTCATGAGCTCATTTCGGGGGCGTCATCAACCCTGCGCACTGGAACACAATGACCGTAAATAATTTATAACGACACATCATGTAAACACACTTATTTACCAAAATACCGAGTATGTCATCCTAACAGAATAGGAATCACCCTTGGTAAATCAAATAAACAAGTAATAAATACATATGCCCGTTTTATATTATCTTACAGCTTAAGAGTATGCATCAATTACTGAAGGTCTATATTACAACAACGGTCAGTGAGTCTCATAATCTTATATTTCCGTGGTCCTGTTCAATACTTAACATAAGTACTAGTGTAATTCTCCAGTTAAAGACAAACTGAATCAAGAATACACTGCAATTTTTTTTCAAGAGGGGTCTCACTGCCTGTCTAGACTATGAACGAATAATTTAGTCTTACAAGGAACAAATAGATGATCTTTCTGTTCGAAACACTTCGAACCACACTATCTCAATGTAAGACAAGGGGTATGATTGTATAAATAAATAAACTGCAAGCATGTGTACTTTGACCAAAACATGATGGCCAGATCAAAATGGAATTGATAGAATCTGCAAAACATAGCTTTTACAGGATACCTCTAACACACCAAATTTTGGAAGGGGTGCAGGAGACCTTCTAAGGCCAGGAGAAGGGGGAGTGATGAGATGGTTGGGAAAAATAAGAAGAAAAAAGGAACTTAATCTTCTACAAAGGTGAAGAGGCAACAAACTAAGGTGAAATGCAGCAGATGTGGTGGAGAAGGGCATAATGCAGCCACATATTTGGTTACCACTAACCAACCTCAACCAGTACAAAAGTTGCAGGTAATTAACTTAAACATATATATTTCTACTGCTACTGCTACTGACTTGTGGGTATTACTGGAGAGATGCCTGTTTTTTCTGTGGGAAGCAACATTACCACAACTCATGACAAGGTTATAGTTGATAAGGGGAAAAAGTTCTTGGTACTTAACCAAAAGGGTCATGGCAATGACAAATTATTTTGGGTCTGTTGAACTAGGTTGATAATGGGTTGTTAGATATTTTGTAATGATTTTTGTTGAACTCTGAACTGCTTAAAGGATCTTTCGAACTTTGGATCTTTTGTAATGGTTATTGAAATTGTGATATGGTAGTTTTTGTGCTGGATTTTGTAATGGATTTGTTATGGTTTTTTATATGGGTTCTAAGACTTTGCACAAGTTATAAGAAATTTGTGCAGAAATTATTATGGTCTTGTAAGAAATTTGTGTCATTTTTTTGTGCAGGAATTATGTGTTGATTTGGTAATGAATTTGTCATGGTGTGCTATGCTTTTTTAGCTCCATTTTGTAAGATTTTTGTTATGGATATTGTTATGGATTGTAAGTGGGTTGTGTAGTTTCAGGAACAAAGTAACATATAATGACTATGGTTAACAAACTAACAGGTAAATACAACACATACTTTTTTTTTTTCAAAACGATAGAAAATATTATAAATCAAAAAGCACAAATGTGCGAATACACAGCAGCCAACGGCTGAATACACCGCAGCCAACAGCTGAAAAAGTGGGAGGACAGGTCCGAAGACCGCCTAGAATCCCGGCTAGCAAACACTAGAAAAAAACTCACTAAACTAACCAACGAAACCAACTAAAACAACTAAACCAACAAAAAAACTAAAAAGACCGCAACACGGTAATACCCGAGTGTCGGATCCCACCAGGATAATAAAGAATACAACACATACTTATAATCACAAAATGTTGATGCCATTACAAAGCTGTCTGAGAGCCACAATGTCAATAACATTACAAATATGCATCAACCTAATATCAATAACATTCAACTACAACAATGTCAATAACATTAAAAATAAACATCAACCTTATATCAGTTATTCATTAACTGTCTGAGACCCACAACAAAACATGAAAATCAACATTATCAAGAATGCTACTATTATCCTCATAATTCTTGTTTTTCTGGTACTCTCATTTTTTTTTTTAATTCAGAACTTCTGCCTTCAGTTTATTGTTTTCTTCTTCAAAATCATAATTTTGTTTCTTCAATTTCTTGTTTTCTTCTTCAAACTTCAGAAGATCAATTTTTTCAGTCCCAACCCTCTTGCTTGATTCTTCCATTTCATTCAATCTCTTGAGCAACCCAGGAATTATTTATTGAGCACGGGCACAAAGAGGAGGATCGACCCATCCAAAAAACTTGCATCCTCCTCCCTGAAATTCCAGCAAAAAAAAAAAAAACTAAATTAAATTACAAAGCATTTATTCACGTAAAAACATAAAATTACAAAGCTGGACGACTTACATTCCAATAGAGGCACGAGAAAAATCTTCTTCCACAATTGGGAGTTTTCCATGAAGTTCAAATTTCAACTCTCATCCTGTAGCAATATGGATAATCCGTGTTGATGTCAGACATCTCGTTAGAGCTTCACTATTAAGTCGAATTTCTTCAATCTTGTACCGAACAAGGAGACTTCAAAAACCTAGGGTTTTTTGCTCGATTTTTAGGGTTCGAATTTGTGCTCGATTTTTCCCCAAATTTCTCTGTGAAATGTGAAGGTGAACACGTTGGAAGGGGTATTTATAGACATGTTAGCTGATGTGGATTAAGTATGCCACGCGTAGTCCACGCTGGCTTTTTCGATGTTCTCAGGCGAAATTCCGACGACTTCGACCAGATTTAGGTAGAAAGACCGAATTTTTAAAACGTTTTGACTAATATTGCCAAAATGAAAAGAAAGTCTAATTTTATTTTGGTACAATAAATGAGGCCAAGGGCCTAGTCTAAGACTTGCCGGGGAGACGAGACTCCCAACCTATCATGCTCAATCCAAGAATCTATTCCTCGGGGATGAGAAGACAATATATGAAGCCCGAGAGGATATGATGCCGCGAGATGGGCAACGAAATCCGCCGCACAATTCGCTTCGCGGTACACATGTTGAACCTTTACCTCCCATTCTCGACACAAAAGTTCACGAATGGCGCGCATCAGATCACCGTGGTGGCCGGCCTCCCCATCTGAAGAAGCCACCATCCGCGTAACACGTAAATTATCAACCTCAATCACCACCTTCCGGAACCCGCGGTCCCACGCCAAATTCAGCCCGTGTGTCAGACCAACAGCTCCGCCTCCAAAACCGCCTCCAAAACCAAAAGAAAGTCTAAATTAGTGACTAGTTTTTGCAATTTAGCCTTTATTTATTTATTTTGGCCGATATTTGGTGAAAGGTTGGTGCAATATTTATTTATTTATTTATTTTTTGCCTGCACCGCTGATAGAGACATTATCCCCTAACGAATGTAACCAACGACGTCGTAGTCTTTGTTTCACTCTTTCTTTTTTTGGTACAAAGTCTTCTGTTTCACTCTAATTGCTCTATTCTGCTTCCTCCGCAGGTAGATCTGAAATCTCCGCAACGGGTATCTGAACTCGGGAACAAATGGCCGCGTTTATCAACCTTGAAGATTCGCCTATGTTCCACAAACAGGTAAAATTCACTGACACTCAATATGTTATTTCAATCTTCTTCTTTTCTCCCATGTAGTACATTTGTATGGGCCAGTTTTGATGCTTATTCGTTTTATTGTTATTTTCTTTTGAATGGATTGTCAGGTGCGGTCTTTAGAACAGACATCAGATGAGTTAAGAGATCGATGCCAAAAGCTGTATAAAGGATGTAAAAAATACACGTAAGTACACATTGTTTCAGCTACCGTAGATTTTGTTTACCATAGCTGTGTCCTATTATTGGCATTGAGCATAAGATTTTTTTTGGGCCTCGATCGTTTCTGTACATTGTTAATTGATGCTCGTGGAAATGATTTTTCATTTTGGGTTCTTTCATTTTCTGTACCACTCTTTCTCAGTTGGACTATTGGAGAAGAGTGTGAGCCTGTGAGCCTATTTTGTTATTTTTTTAATGTTAATGATCAAATTGATCGTGTGTGTGAATTGGTTCAAAGTGCTTTTATAGTGCTGAAGCTTTTTGTGGTAAAAATTCTTGATTCCCTTTGCCTTTTCGGTCTTCATTTCTTCTTTCGGTGTTACAAATACATTATGCATTCCAGATTGTACTTTGCAACAGCCTAAAAACTAATTCATATCACAATTTGGGGATGCAGGGAAGTGCTTGGGGCAGCATTCCAATGTGAGATGGACTTTGCAGCATCGCTAGAAGCATTTGGTGGTGGTATTGATGATCTTCTAAGCGTATCCATTGGAGGTATGTTACATGGCAATCCTGGAGAAAATTTGAAAGATTTCAATAAAAAAGAACTCGGTGTTGCCTATTGGATGAAGTTGGTCAACTACATTTGACAAGCCCTTTCTTGGAAAGTTTTATATGTTTTTACAATATCATCACCACAGTGAGTTTTTTTAGTACACTTGATGACTAACTAATCCATTATGAATAACTGAACAAAAGGGACTAATTAGCACTTGTCCCGCGTGCAGTTAGATGAGTGAAATCTGTTAAAATCATTGCTCATGTGGAACGTGCAATGGCTATGAGATTCAATAGGATTTTCATTGATGCTTGTATTTCCTTTCTGACAGGTCCAGTTCTATCAAAATTTATTAATGGTCTGCGTGAGCTTGCCACATACAAGGAGTTTCTTCGATCCCAGGTGACTGTTTATTTTGATAGGGAAGACTATTAATATGAATGGGGACGTCAGATGCATTATCTTTGAAGTTTAGCCATTTTACTGTATTTGGTGCATACGTTAGAGCACTGAGCATCACGATCCCTTGATGCATAATTCTTGCTTCAGTCCCAGATATTGGAATTTCAACTTCATATTGTACTTTGTCAACGCTGTGTCTTATTTCTTTGCAAATATAATATAATAATATTGGTGTGCTGAATCTGGTAATTGTTGTACATGGAATTTATGGAAGTGCCATTGAGTGCAAATTTTTCTTTGACAATATTTAATCGAACATTGCTTCATAGTAAAAGCTAAGCATCTATACACATCATTTTTTGCTATCAGACATGCACATTGTACCTTTACATGAAAACACATGTTTCTACACTTGACAATTTCGTGAGGAATCTTAATTATGACCAAATAAAATATGACAGAATATCTAATTCTGCAGGTTGAGCATGTTCTTGTGGGCCGCTTGTCTCAATTCTTGTCCTTTGATTTGCAAGATGCAAAGGTAAGCCCAATCAATCTGCCGTTGTAAGTTACAAAATTACCATATCTAAATTATAACAACTCTAAAATTTAATTTTTGTTTCTAGTCTATCCATCTAAAAGTTCTATTATTATTTGCTCGATAAGTATTTGTCCATCTTATTTTTAGGTTATCATTTTGCTAAAAGTTTTTGTCCTATTGAAAAGGTATATGGGTACTCTCATTTCCATTTTTACTTCCCCGGCCCACACTTGAATATATCTGCAAGTACCCAGTGTTCTTAAATTCTCGAGGCACTTACTAAGTGGAGGGCTGGAAACTTGACCTAGTGCCTCATAGGCAGGGATAATCAAATAATTTTCCATGTATTTTTTCTATATTACGTCACTGTAATTAGCTCATATCATTAAAGGAGGATTACAATGCATATAGATTGACGCACTCTAAGAGAGATATTAAAGGAAAACTAATGTTGAGAATTAGAAGGAATAAAGTGGATATAATTGACATCCATTCTTTAAGCTATCCTCCTATACATAATTCGCGAATGGATTGAGTTTAAGTGGCAGACTAACACGCTTCGAAATCCTATGTGGCAAAACACCATGCTTCGTCGTTAGGCTTGGATATAAATTAATATATTTATACAAAAATAATTAGGCTAGGATTGCATCAAATATCTATATTATTCATGTGAAATTTGTGATTGATCTCTTTTTTATTTTACAATTAGTTACCATAAACTATTTTATATTTCCTTTTGCTACATTACCATATAATACATTTTCTTTGTTTATCTAATCCATACATAAGTTATTATAAATCTGTCTTCTTCTTAATTTTTAAAATTTTATCTTTTTTTGTTTGTATTTTGTTATATATATAATATATCAAATTAGTTATCTTTTAACGATCTTTGATTTGACAGTAATATTACATATATAAAATAAATACAAATAATAGTGATATATATCCTTATAAATCAAATTTAAATTTATTTATCAAACTAAATTGAAAATATCATATAAACTTGTAAATTATCTTATAAACCAATTGAAATTGATTTTTTTAACATACAATAAAATATTTATTTTAATTTGAAAAAAATATGTAAATTAAGTACGGACATAAAAAATATTCTAAAATTTGATTGTCAACTTAAATGATATTAAAAATAAAAAAAAGTCTTAATGAACACATAATTAAAAATAATAATAATAATAATAATAATAATAATTATTATTATATTTCATAAAGTTTAAATATATATATAATATAATCAATCTTGGAAAAAAAATTTAAGTTAATTCAAAATCAAATTATTGAATTTTAGTTAATATATATTTATAAATATATATATGTGTGTGTGTGTGTGGAATTAAAAATATTATAATAATGTTTATCGAATGTAAAATACATGTATTATTTTAATTCTTTTAACTCTTAAATTTTTAATTATTAGTTGTCTATTTAATTTTTTTATGAATGTAAATTTATTTACTTATTTCTTTTGAAACAAATATTTTATTTAATGCGCGCGTTTTGTTCACGGGGTGTTATATCAACTGCATAATAATTTAATTATTCTATTTATTTTTGACAAAAATGAAGATCTCTTAATTAAAATTAATATTTTTCATACACGATATATTCTAGAATGAAATTAAAGTACAAATTCTTTTACTTTCTTATTACTTTTTATTGTTTTTATTTCACACTAAGGATTTTACTTCTTTTTCATTCTTTGTTACACAATTAATTTTTTTATTGGACACCCGTGTAGTTCACGGGGGTACTAGTTTACACCATATAGGTTGTCACACCTGTAATGTATAAAGTAATAGTTATGCCCAACTTGTTACGATTATCATGAACTTTAACTCCTTTTTTTTCCTTTGTTAAAAATGTCGTGAAGTTGATCTTCTGTCCTCACGAATCTCGTACATATGAAACCCTCCTCGACCTTGAAGCACACAAATTTGCATTCAACTTCTCTATTTATGTAATAGAGTTAAGGGTGAAAACAAACATTTAATGAAGAAAATAACTTAAGAACAACTTGGAACAAATCCCGCCAAGCCTAGGTGGATAGTTTGGGAAGAAACTTCCTGCCCAAGCTTACAATCCTATTGAACAAAAGTTATTCTAGCTATCAAATGCTAGCCTACTCAAATAGAACTTTAACTCTAATTGTAACCCTAATAGATAACGCAAGCAAATGGACCCAAGAGTTGAATTACTGAAATTTCAAAAAATAACAATCGATCTCAAACAATTCTCCAACCGTTCAAAACAACATGTCCTCAAGGTTGTAGACCGTCTTCAAATTACATCCCAAATCTTTACGGCATGCAGAGAAATTGTTGTGGCCCAATTCCACTAGCATGAAATATGAAATCTAAATGGTATGGCAAACAATGAGAACGAACACATCAAGAGTGAGGTAGTAAAAGTTTATCATGAACCTTCATCCTTCAAAGACATTTTCCCTTGTGTATTTACGTGTATTGACAGTTGTGGTACGACTCCTCCATTAGATTTGGTTCTTAAATATCCTAAGAATGCTGGAACTTGAGACATTGTGTGAAGAGAAGTGGGTAGAGGAGCAGATAACGCAAGTAAAGTTATATATTTATTCAATTTTCCAAAAAAAAAAGAGGTTATTGCCTTTGGGAGAGAGCAGGTGTTGTGGCGGCCACAAGCAACGACAAGAGGAGGAACAACCTCCACCACAGTGCTGGGGCACTATTTGTGGTGACAACAACTTCGAGATGCAGCAACTGTTTCTTACGAAGTAGTTTCTTTATCAACTCTTCAGTTTCGCTCAGTTATGCCAACAAACGATCCATAAATGTCCTTAATGACGTAACACCCTTTTGTAATGTGTCTACGTGTTTGTTAAGGGTGAAAGCAAACGATATTTATTAAGAAAATAACTTAAAAACAACTCGGGATGAATTCCGCCCAACTAAGGCCGATACTTTGGGAAGAGACTTCCCGTCCAAGTTTAAAGGCGAAAATTCTATCTATTTAACAAAAGATATTCCAGGTATCTAATGCTAGTCTACTTAAATAGAGCCCTATGGGTTCAGTGAAGCACGTCGATGATTGTGTATGTTCGAAATCTATGAAATAAATCCTAAGCACAATAGAAGTCCCAACACCTCTTGAAACTCGTCTTTATGGGCGACAACTACTTGGAGTTTCCTATTCATAAATCCCACTTTATCAGTCTTTGGGAACAAAGGTAGAATTTTGGCGAAAGAAGAAAGATCTTGTGTTTTTGAAAACACCATCTTTCTCTCGCTTTTCTAAAACTTCTCAAACTTTCTATCGCTTCAATTCACGTTTGGAGGCGTGATTCTTTTAGATGAGAAGACCAAAATTATCATGAGGGAACTTGGTTTATTTACAGACTACAATTGTGATATTAAAGATGTATTAAATAAAGACTTCCCATAAGATTAGGTAACTTAGGTTCTGGTCTATATACACCATATGAATACTATTCCACTAACTAAAAGAATAATATTAAACATCCTATTTATCCCCTAAATTACATATAATTTGGCTCCAAATTTATTTACTCGATTTATCTCCCCATGTTTAAGGTATAACGTTCATTATTAATTTTAGTTACTGACGGTTTAACTAATTAACTTCTTCATCAGAAATTAGTATCACTCAACCTTTTTACTATGCTGAAAATTAACCAACTGCATGGTTTATCATAGTAAATGTTTTGAGGTCATTTTAGGGACATACTCAACATTGCGTACTAGGACACAATGTTCGTAAATAATTTTAATGACACATCATATGCTCGACATTATTCATTAAAACATAGTGGCTATTGATATGCAATAAATCTCACTCATTGGTGAATCAAATAAATACTAACCAAATACACATGCTCGTTTATTATCTTACGGAGATTAATAGTATGAGTGATAGTTGAAATCTGGTTTATTTACTTGGCAATATTAAATAAACTTATCCGTCCGTTCAATACATTCTAAATGCATTGGTGTAATTCATTAGTCAAGATCAATTAATTACAAAATTACACTACAACCGTTCACGACAATTAGTTCAATTGTGTCTAGGTTGTATACCATATTTATTTTATATTTTACGTGCCTATGATCTTTTGTTCAACACGACAAACCATATTATCTATAATGTAAAATAAATGAATTATGTTCGCATAAGTAAATTAACTACAAGCACACTTGACTAAAAACGATTCTCATTCAAAATAGGAAATTGGTTTAAACTAAAGCAAAATTTTCAGTATACGAACCAACACCCTAATCCTAATTGTAATTGATATTATAAGCAAATGGGCCTAAAAGCCCAATTATTGAAACTAATAAAATAACAATCGATCTCAAATGGTATGGTTTGTTCGCGAAACACAAGATTGAATGCAATATGAAGAGCTGTGTGGTTGCCAAGCTGTTGAGTTGGTTCGTACCCAATCTCAGCTGATGTATTGGTGCAATCTCGCATACCAAATCGGCCATGCTTTGTTTTATATTTCATCAATAAGCCACGGATATCTTGTGTGTCAATCAGACCAAATTTCCACCCACAAATAGTAATGCCCAGAGGTTGTATCTCCTATCATCCTGCATAATTTGCATCACAATGTTATCAAATTTAACCAGAAATACCTGTTTTATATTGACTCTGCAACCATAAAACAAATCAACCCCAAGAGCTCCTTTTCAAATAACATTAGATTTGCTTTGGAAGTGCCCAATAACTAACTGAAGGAGATGACATGAACCGAATTGCAACACTCATTGCTTTGCAATGTCCAGATGCGTTACTATCAAATCAACAAGTCTCCGATGAACTGATCCTATTACCTCTTTTTCTGGATATATGTGTGCAATGTCATTGGTATGCTACAAGGTCTCTCCCCCAGTTTCCATGTTCTTTTACCCTTGGACATTTTAGCAAGTCTAATGCATATTTCATCTGTCAAAGAAACTGCCACTTTTGTTTCTTATGACTACAACTCTAAGTAATTATCTCAAAAGATCCCAATTTTTTGCCTAAAATGGGCATACGGAAATAACTTCCAACTCTGATATCTCTGAGCTCTGACTTCTGTGATTATAATGTTGTCTACATATACAACCAATAGAATAACCCCATTCTTGGATTGGTGCCTGTAGAAGTATGAGCGATCTGGTGGACATTATGACATTCTTAATCTTATAAATATTTGTTTTGACAGTAATGTGTTGGAGGCTTGCTCCGTTATTGTTTCTGGTCTGACTTTGATATTTTATTAGGAATTTTAGATGAAATTATTATGGAATGACATTGATATAAATAAAAATGTTAATAGAGTGCTAGGATGACCTGATTAATTTTTTTAATCACTTGGTTGTACTACACAAGATGAACATGTCTTTTTATCTCTAGTGTTACTGTCGGCTTGATCTACTGCCCATGTGATGATGGCTTCTGAGAATCAAAAGAAATATTTCAGTTGTCTTAAGGAATTTAAGCAATACATTAACTTTGATTATCAGTTCAGCTCTTATTAAATAAAATAATATTGCTTTGGTTCTTGCTGTCAAACATGTTAAAAAATATTCTACTATAATGCTTATCGTACATTAACTTTGATTCTCAGTTAAGCTCTTATTAAATAAAATAATATTCCTTTGGTTCTTACTATATCACACATTTAGAAAAATATTCTAATATAATGCTTATCATTTGCCTCTTGCAGGAGTGTCGTCGCCGATTTGACAAGGCCATTTATTCATATGACCAGGTATGGAGGTTCTTCGAGAAAGAATTCTGTGCGACTCAAGTCATAATTCAAGAAATCAAACATCCATATCATAGCGTGTGTTGCAATTTTGTATTCTTTTCGAATCATTACTTTATTATGCATGTTTGAATTCAGCATTCATTGAAAAAATAATATTTACAAATTAGAATCCCTGATTTTAGACAAGGGGTAAATTTTCTGATGGCAACTATAGGACTTAGTGTATGCCTTATTTTGTTATATGCGTCCCATGTGCCAATTTGTCCAGCTCTGAGCTGGTTAACCTAGGCTGAAGCTGCTGGTGAAACTTAATTCACCAGTCCTTCTGGGACGAGCGGTGAATATGGTAGAATAGTTGGTACCACTTGGTATGACCTTGAAGAACCTTATCTATTAAACTAGCTGTTGAGTGAGAGCTCACAACTATATGCACCCCTTAATAGTATCCTTAACATTTTTGTGGGACCCACCCAATATCATTAGATATGACCTTTGAAGAACCTTACCTAATAAACTAGTTGTAGTGAGAGCCCACAGCTTTATGAACCCCATAATGGTATCCATATCATTGATGTGGGACCTAGATCTTATTTCTTGATCATAGTTTTCATATGCTTTGTGAAATTCAGGCATGTGTGCTACTTCATCTTCCTCCTTAATTTAACATTTGGTGTTTTGTGACAGGCCCGAGAAAAGTTTGCTTCTTTAAAGAAGACAGCGAAGGACGAAGTTGTTGCTGAACTAGAAGAAGTAAATATTTTCCCTGTCTGTACTATTTAAAGTAACAATTTAGTGAAACTTCTGACTTTCACTATTTTGTCGTCTGGCAGTCATTATTATATCTGCTTAACTACACCAAATATTTTACTTCTGGAGTTCCACTCCTCAAATCTGTGATAAAACTGTTAATTTTGTTTTATATATCTCTCTATTCATTATATTATGCGACATATACTAATTGGGCACACTAGATGCTGCATGGTCAGTACATTCCTTGGATATTATCTATGAGGCCTACACTTAAGCACAAGGTGGAGTTGTCAGAACATGCACACACATTATCAAAGAGAGTTAGAAAAATGTTTTTTTTTTCATTGAATTAAAGTTTAAAAATATATAATGTGTTTATGAATGATTATGATTACTCTCAGGAAATTGGATGTTCGTCAATATGTTTTACTTAATGTCTCATGTTTCTGGGGGTCAGTTTCAAAGTTTCATCTGGTGAAACAATTAGTCTCATGTCGGAACCGCCAATGCCATTTGGCAGGTCTTACATCACCGGTGGGGGTCTGGCGACCATGCACCGGGAACTCACGGGACTCCCACAGTGCTCCTCCCTAAGGTTAATACCCATTTTAAGTAAGCTGTGGATTTTTGCCCTTCCCAGACTCGAAATATCCACCCTGAGCATAAAACTCCACCTTATGCTTAGGGTGCAGGGTTTGAGTCTGGGAAAGGGCAAAAAACCACAGTAAGCCTAAGATGGGTATTAACCCTAGGGTGGAGCACTGTGGGAGTACCGTGAGTTCCCGTTGCATGGTCGCCAGATCCACCAGTGATGTAAGACCCACAAAATGGGCATTGGCGGTTCCGACCATCAACAACTCTTTTTAAATTATATGGGATAATATGATTTATTGTAAATATTCCTTTCAGATGGAGTGTTTTATGAAATTAATTTTCTATTTATGAAATTCTTGATGATGTTATTTTAGCACACAAGTTTGTCAACATCTTAGAAGAAGCAATAAATCATTGTTGGGTCCCATATTATCCTTGTTGATACTTCTGCTAGGCCGGATCAAAATAAATTTTCTGAATGGAGAGTAATTCATGCATCTTGTCTGATAGCAAGGAGTTGAAATATTAAATATAAACATTTGACGAGCTTTATTTCTTCACTTCTCATACTCCCTGCAATCTTTTGAAGTTATAGAACCACCAAAGTTACTTTTAAAGTTTGAAGTAACTATTAAAGAAAATGCTCTAGGTACATGATACTGTACATAGAGGAGTACATAACAGTCACATTAAGTGGATCGTACCAAAATGAATAAATCAAGTGGACCCCACTCCGTGTGAGTGTTATGTACCTCTATGTACATTTATTATGTACGTGTAGCATTTTTCAACTATTAATAGACCACCGTGTCATAACTCAAAATTACAACTCCCTTAAAGGAGTACAAAGACCCCTCTTGAATGTTTGTGAAACGGAAACAAGTATCCGGATGACAAGTAAAGGTTTAAGCATGGAATTTTGTAATTTGTGTTAATTAGGGAGCAACCTCATTCTTTCAAGCAACACTGCATCATAAAGTGTATTTTAACTTTAGGAAATGTAATGTTAAATGTTGCCTCCTTCAGGCGGAAATAGGAGCATTAAAGTTCAACCATAGGGACTTTCTTGCTGATATGAAGTGTGTTGTTGTGCACGTGTGCGTAACTAATGCATTGCCATCTGGAGAAGAATGGAGTCTTCTTGGTTTTGTGTGGTGAATGGACCATTTTTAAATCTTAAATATTTTGGTAATTTTCATTATCTTCTTGTAAGAAAATTTGGAAGTTTTTAAATTTAATTTTGGAGTTTCTATGAAGAAAGTTTGCATGGTTTGTGGTTTCGTTCTCTCGTTCTATTACTTGATTGACTGATAAAATTCAACGCAATGTTCTATTTATTTAAGTTATTGAACTGTAATACTATTTAAAAGAAAAGTTGAATAAAGTTAGATGTATGATTTATTCAATTTGTTTTCTTTTCTTTCGTAGAATGTGTAAACTTACGTGCTGAATTTGCAACAGGATCTACACAATTCAAAATCAGCATTTGAGAGAAGCCGCTTTAATTTGGTATCATGATGCAGAAATGGCCCTCTTTTTACTTCCATATTATGATTATATATATACACATATATATATATATATTTATATTATTACTATCAATTTGAATTTCAGGTAAATTCCCTCATGAACATTGAAGCCAAAAAGAAGTTCGAGTTCTTGGAATGTTTTAGTGCAATTATGGATGCTCATCTACGATACTTCAAATTGGTATGTTTTTTTTAGCTCACCGGCTGTCATTCTTACTGATGGAGGTTATTGGTATTCTTCCTGATCAGTGAAACATATATTGTTTTTAGGGGCATGATCTATTGGGACAGATGGAGCCTTTTATTCACCAGGTACATCGATCAGTCCCAACTGTGTGACTGTTATTTTGAGTGAAAATGAGATGTTGATGTGGAATGTGGAAGTGAAACTTGAATAAGACCATATTTCTGCCATCCTGATGGTCCTTCAGTGTGCTTTAAATTTATTTCTTTGTGATTAGTCAAGAGAATATTTATTTTAGATGGTAAGAGAATTTGATTTGTAAAGTTTAAACTTAGACTTCATCTGCAAAACATCTGATTCTACAGCTAGTTTCTGGGCATTTAGGAATTGATTATAAATGTCTACTTATTAGCATTGGTAGTCACATTGAACCAGTAGCCTCCAGGATGTTTTAGTGCTTTATTTCATTAAGTTAATTGCAAAAGACATCTCTCAGTTTTGGGCTTATATGCTTTATTTCAATAAGTTAATTGCAAAAGACATCCCTGAGTTTTAGGCTTATAATGAGGAAAACCCAGTTACTTCTTACTTACATATACCCATTTACATTTGTTTCTAGTTTACAAATTGAACCATCAAGATGGGTACTCTTCAAATACAAAACAAACCTCAATGGTATACTCATTTTGAGAATTATGTAAAAGTTCTGGCAGTTTTTTGTAACTATTCGTAATTTTAATATGATACACTTGTCACGGGTCTGCTTCATTGACGGTTGAAGCAAAGAAGAACAGGGTTTGGCTGTATTTTTTAATTGAGTAGGAAAGAGGTTGAACTAGCATAAATAGGTTTTATGTTTGAAGAACATAGATTAAGTTGGAAAATATTCTTGGAGAATATGCAGTACACACATGCAATGTATAAAGGCGTTAAGATGATTACTTGGTAGCAAAAAATTCTTCAGTTTATAGTTAATTTCCTATTTCAGGTGTTGACGTGTGCACTACAATCAAAGGAGCAAGCGATGATTGAACAGGATAAACTTGCCAAAAGGATCCAGGAGTTCAGAACACAATCAGAACTGAATCAGTTACAAGCATGTGGTAAATTGCCAACTTCAAATGCTATTGGCATGAATGGATTTGGAATGAGTGCTTGTAAAAACACGGAGGCAATCATGCTATCTGCTGCTAAAGGTGAGGTGAGTTGTTTCAGATATGATTGGCCATTGACTGGTGAAAATTCTTGCTCCTAGTTGTGAATGGTGCATGTATTTACAACGTTTTACAGTTAGAAGGTTTGACGTCTTAATCCGACAGTTTGACTTCAAAATTCAATCTAACTGTTTAGACAAAAAGACCATGTTGTCCAAAGAACAGCAGTTGCATTCAAGGCTATGTATGATTTTCTGCTTCATTACTAAATTATGGTAATCCAAAAATGCTACTTTGTCTGTATGACAAGTGATTTGGCTGAACAACATCATCCATCCTGGGTGTGACTGTCGTGGTAGGATTTACTCGAGTAGACTTTAACAATGTGCAAACATCTCCTTTTCCAATGTGAATATTTTAGTAGGCATTCTCCTCTGAGTTTCAGACATTGACACTCCCTAGAAGAGTCTGCCCTCTAATTTTGACCAACTTTGGTCCGACAAACAACTTTTCTTTCTGTGCTGACTGCCAACTTTACTGGTTGATTTGTCTTTTATTGATCAATTATCTACCATTCTGATTACTCTGCTGACTTTTTGTATTTGTCTTTGCTTAAAATCTTATTTACCCAACTTACATCAACTTTGGATGTCCTCTAAAGTAGAATTATCTGCTGAAGCAAAACAAGTCCCTGTTGAAGATTTCTCTGGTCTATTTTGTGTATGTGTGTGTGTGCATGCGGGTGCTAAAATTAGAGCGATAACCATATCATTTTATTCATTAAAAAAAAATTCACATTAGCAAAGTTGCACAGTTATCTGCTACAAGAGAAAATAAGATGCAATCACCACTATGCTAATCTTTAATCTCTATATTAATCACAAGAAAGGTTTAAACAAGAACTTAGATGCTCCAGACATGGCCAACCTGCTTTAATACTCTAAAGAGGACAATCTTGTGTGTATGGGAACCCCAAGAATCTGTGTTTAAGGATTCTCCAAACTGCACTTGGACAACACAAATCAACCAAGAGAGGAATATACTAGGAGTTATCTTCTCTAATTTGTTGCACGTGGGAAATTTACCTAACTCCACAATCTAGAACATATTTGAAATTTGGTTTGTAATTTTTATGGGACCTTCCATATAACTTTGAAATTAGGAAATTGAGAGAACAAAGATCGGGGATAACGATCATAACAAGAATAGATAGTTTGATGATCCACCTACTTTTTAAAGGTAGTTATAATCGTAGTCTGGTACACTTTTTTCTGCCACCAGGAGCAAGTTCACCTGTAAATTTGGTTTGACAAATAAATAAAAGTACCTCTTAGCAGTTATCTTGTTGTGGAGGTTATGATAGGATTGAACTAATTAGGCGTAGATCTTTTACCTTACATGTGAATTATAAGAAGGTGGTATGTGGCAGCTGGGGTTACTTCTCGTACTCCATAACTGATGTTAATAAAATAAGGATTATTTCATCAATGGCTTTATTATCTGTCACAATATGATTAGTGCAGTATCCATGGTGTTAAATATGGTGGTGTTGGAAGTTTAATTATCATTCTTTTGTTTAGGTCCAAACTATCAAGCAGGGTTATCTTTTAAAGAGATCATCAAGCCTGAGAGCAGATTGGAAGAGGAGATTCTTTGTACTTGACAGTCATGGGACTTTATATTATTACCGCAACAAAGGTGCCCAACCAGGGGTATGCTATATTTATGTTAACTGTTCAAATCAGTAATTGACCCTTTTTACTTTCTGGAGACTATTTTTTTTTTCCTTTTTATTCCGTGAATATGAACATTTGAGGACCATTTAATTTCCAGCAGATGAAAGCATAGTTCCATTATATTGTGCGTCAAAGAAAAAGGGGTGACTGCAATCATAATATTTTCAATTTCTAATTAGAAACTGAGAAGCTCCTGATGTTCACCCTCTCTGTATGTGTTTTTATTGAATTTGAGAATGCTCTTTGACAATCTGAATTCTTCTGTACTAAGAATCATTCACATGTGAAATCTGTTAAGCAATAATGTTTATTAAGCTCGCATTTCTGTAGATAACCACCTGAGCTGCAGTTGCTTAGTTCCTAGGGGACTATCTATTCCAGATATCTTGAAGCATAAGCCTTTATTGATTAGTTAACATTCTGGTGATCCATCAGAGCTCTGTGCATCTAGTCACTAGCTGTCTGCTAAACTTAGGTCAAACTTTTAATCTCTTATTATCTTTTTCAAAGATGTTTGGGCAGAATCATGATGAGTTTTGTGAAAATAACATTAATTGATTACATGAAGTCATTATCCCATGTGATATGGCTAGATAGATCTCTATTATTTTCTGTTTGATGCTTTTGCTCATATAAGGGTTCCCTAAAATTGATCTTCTCTTAATCACTACATGTTTAGTATTTTTATCTTAGCAAAGTGATTCCGGATTCCATCTGCTTCCCAGGGTTCTCCTTCATTTAATTCTTTCCACTCACTGGAGCATAATAATCGTGTATTTAGTAGATTCCGATCAAGACAACATCAAGTGTCATCACTTGGTGAAGACAGTTTCGGCTGTAGTACTGTTGATCTGCGTACTTCAACAATTAAGATTGATGCTGAGGATACTGATCTGCGACTCTGCTTCAGAGTAATTTCACCATCTAAAACTTATACCTTACAGGTAATATGAGGAAAAGTGTTGCTTATTGTTACTCATTTCATGTTGTTGATCTGTCCTATGGGTTCTGATATATATAGTTATTTTCTAATCCTTGTTACAATTAAACTTGTGAAATCTTCTTACCCAATCAAAAAAAGGAAAAAATTAGAAAGTATTTAATTAATTATAAATTTTAAATTTATTAGAAAATGATGCAATGTATGAATTTATAACCCGACAGAAGGCCTTTTATCTTTGAAG